TCGCCGAGGTGTTTGAATTTCCCGGGGGCTCGACTTGATTCTTTTCACTTGTCGAGTCAACGGCTCACGAGATGGCCGCTTTTGTGAATCAGCTGGTCGCCGTACATCTGCCCTCTGCCCCTATTGGCAAAGTTAGGACGGGGAGAGATACCCGGCCGCGGGGAAAACATGGAGAAAGCATGGGTTGGAGAGAATCAGAGAACACTGAGAGAATGGAACGCAGATTACCGGGACGCGTATTCCTAGCGAGGGCTTCTTGTTCGCACATTGCTCTTTTCCTTTGGCCGGTGTCTGAAAGGGTGTTCCGAGCGCCATTATCTATGATAAACGAGATGAGATCTGCGGCTGCAAGTATAGAGCGCGAAATACCTGGGAACCTAGGCTGGTGCCACCAGGTGGCGTCCGCTTTAGAGGAAACAAGTCCCGCAATTAAGTAGTCGCGGGGCCAGCCCACCTACAGGGCTTTCACCATCGTCAGTCATTGCTAGACTCGAATGGGTCAAATCACGAGCTTTCTAATTTCTGCGGAATGCATAAACACATTGTGAGACAGAGAAGAATGCGATGGTGCTGTGGCGAATGTTGGAGCTCGGACCCTCTGCAAGATGTAAACAGTCTTGGAGTTGTGCTTTTGATAAATCTTTCGAAGTCCATCCTTTACAGCTGAGGTGCTCAGTATGATTATTCTTGTCCATGAGGAGCAAGAAGAACAAGCAGGACTAGGAAGAAGCCATAGACCTGGAGTAGGCAGCGAAGTGTCTTGGAACCGCGAAAAGCAGAGACAGCATATCATCACTTGGCGGACAGCAAACAGTAAGCACTAGCTGCATTCCATCCGACTCGCAAAGTCCTTCGCATATTCAGATATCTGATCTTGGTGCCTGCTGCGTGTCTCACATACAGCATAGTATCCACAAGCTCGTGCTCGAGTGGATAAGATCAATAACCTGTCAGGCTGTCGGCAGCTGTCATTGGGCACGTGGTTGACAGAAACAGATGATAGAAGCCCTGTTTGTCGCGAGTCCATCGCTGGATATATTGCCACATTCCTCCCTATCACATTTCTACACTGGCATGCAGACTGATAATGCCCGGAATGTTGAGGCGTGCACGCGGGACGCCACCCTGAACAGTATCTACTTCCTTTAGAGTTCATGAGCTGCTTAGAATTGACGGCCCTTCATACTTGAAAGTTGAATTCATATGTCGCTTTTCCATCTCCTGGCAGCTGCATTCAATATGTGATTGGCTGTCTGGCGTCTACAGCCCACATACCAGTGTGCTCAGACCAGACAATGTATGTACAAAAGGATGCCGGTCATATATTCATCAATACCGTCGAAGATAATATGTGCAATCGCGCGGATACACAAACTACGCTTCCAATTGATTCATGTGGCTCGGGATATTCCACGGGTCATAGTCCAGATGCACAAAGGCGCGGTCGACAGTGGGCACGCTTTCCAGCATGTACTGTAGACTCTCACCCACGTCATGAGCATCGCGCAAGCTCGTCCTCTCATCCACAACAATGTCCACCTCGACATTGAGGTGATCCCCTGCGTAGTAGGCCTTCAAATCTTGAATTTTGGTGATGATTTTGGAGAACCGCATGGTCATGTACAGCAGAACGCTGTGATCGGTGGGCGAGGCAGCGGCGCCGGTGAGATGGCGGATATGCTCGGCGGCGGTCCCGCTCCAGTTCCAGATGATGTAGACCGAGAGCAGGAGACCACCAAGGGGGTCCACAAACCACCAATTGGCAAAGAAGCCGACTAATTATCTGTTAGTTCACGTCGGAACAGGTAAAGACGTGCAGCTCACCCAGTGGAAAGAGAATACTGAAAAAGTTGAAGACCACGTCCGTCATGGCGTCCTGCGCTAGGGCTTGCACACCAGTATTCTTGATCAATCGGCACCAAAACCAACAGAGCAGTTTCACCACGACGGTGCTAGCCATGATCAAAATCGATGGTAGCGAGAGTTCCACCAGCCGGTGGTCAGGGCCTAGCAACCGCCCCAGTGAGGTGATGGCCACCTGCACGAACGAGGTCGCCATCACCACCGCGAACACCAAGATACTGAGAGGTTCCAGCCGCCGTCGACTAATGGGGTATCGGTACCGGTCCTGTCGCTGGACAAGCTTGGTTGTCGCCCACACGATAACCGTACTTAGAAAGTCCAATGCGCCGTCCACCAAACTGGCCAATACGGACATGGAACTCGTCAAGCTCATGACGGCGATTTTGGCACCCAGCAGGAACACATTGGCGAGCAAGTTGATATAGATAGCCACTGTGATGATGCGATCGCCGCTGTGGACGTGCTGTTGAGCATCTGGGGAAGGGATTTCGGGAAACGGGGCGTCCTCTTCGATGGTTGGCGGTAGCAGCGGTGACCGTTCGCTTGGAACACGGTATAAGTTCCGAGGGGTCCTTTTGATCTTCCGGCTTGAGGCGTCTACAGGTGGACCCTCACCATTTTGCCCTCGGTCTCTGGTCGAGAGGTGGGCGACTTTATCGTGATCATGAGTGTATTCATCTATCAATCGATGTGGTAGCGACGAGTCCAGCAATTGATCGATGAAGAGATACTGCGACACGAGCTCATTGGTGCGTTCGTAGTATTTCCGCCTGCAAGTGTCAGTTTAAGCCTGACGATATTGAGTGCGTACGAATGTTGACGTACAGGTATTTTTTCATGCTTTTCAGCTCCTCGGGGGATTTATAATAGCGATGCCTGCCCTACCAGTCAAAGATATGACATTTTTCGAGATGAGAGGTCTCGTACCATTGGTACATCGGATTACTTGCTCCGATCAAGGTCATTCCTCTGAGAGAGACTGGCAGACTTTCGCGTCTACTCCGGAACGGCGCGCCATCACCATGTTCTACGACGTACTCATCCCGAGCAGTAGCAGGGGGGACCGAAAGCGATCGCTGGCGAAGTAATCCCGGGAGATTATGGCCCCGTGTTGATAGAATCTCCCGCTCAGGTTCGAGACTGGGTCTCCGAGCCGGGGTCCAGGCTCCCGAGGGGGCGGGAGAGTGTGAAGGCGACAGTTGCGCTGCCCCATTTGAATACATTTTGAATTTATTGCCAATGCCAGCTACCCATTATCGAGCTATGAATGTTGAGGATATAATCGACAGAATGACATCTGGGAGTTGTTGAATTGTTGATGCTGGTTCCCCCTTGTCCGCTGACGTCACGCGTCTCCAGTGCCACGTGATGATCTCTCTGCATCAATGTCAGTATACTCATGCCTTAGTATCCATAGATAATTGTGGAATTTTAGAAATAACCTCAATAAAAGGGCTAGTATGTACTTTGGGGAGTTGTATTGTTGTATTATTTTATGGCTCAATGAATGCTCTGACGCAAGATATATATGCAAGTATATACAAGACACCGTCCACTCTTCAATAATCCGTCTCGTCCGCGCCACAATAACTCATACCATTACATTTATTGATAAAGCATGCAGATAACGTCTCAGACTTAGATGTACTGCCAAGCGGCAGCAGTCTGACCCTCAGAAGGAGTCCAGGCAATAGCGGCCGCATCGAATCCGAGGCAGTCAGCGACGTTGCCAGTGGGAACGGTCGCGGAGCTGATGGCGGCAAAGACCTGGTAGGGAGCGGGAGCATCGCCCTGAGTAGGGCAAGCCATGAAGCCGCTGGCACCCAGGCCGTTGAAGTTCCAGTAGCCGATGGGGTCGCCGGAAGTGTAGGAGAATCCCTCGACGGTGGAGCCAGGCGGGATGTTGGCGGAGTGAGCGGTGGTGAACTTGACTGCACCAGAGGGGTCAACGTAGATTTGCTGGCCACCGGGAACCGAGACGTCCTATGGCAGGTTAGCAAGATTCGTAACAATAGCATGATAGAGAGGTGAAGACTCACCAAGGCGTTGGTATACAGAACAGTCTGAGTGCCCTCGGGGCAGGCACCCTGCTGCTTAACGACATCAGGGCAATAGGTTGTGGTCTTGCCGCCCAACCAAAAGCTGTTGCTCGAAGCGGTCATGCCGAGAAAGTGGATGGGAGAGGCGGAGCGGAGGGCCATGACTTGGAAGGGACCATTGTCATTGGCCGCGGCAGTGGGCAGGCAGTGGGCTCCGACGAGGAGAGAGCTAACAGAGGCGATGGTAGAGAGCTTCATCGTGGATATAGTGGTGTGGATGAGGATTTTGGAAATCTGGGGTTTCAAGGCTGTGGAAAGAACAGATGATGTTGTGACGAGGTTGAGAATCGAGAGGTTCGGATGGGGAGATGCTGTCTTTATACTACAACAGAGACTCAGGTACGAGTGCCTCCGGAATATTGATGCCCTTAGTCGATGTAACCTAAGTGAGACCAGCATCGGCTTGTCTCAAGTCTTCATTCACTACCTACAAAGTACTCTCAGTACTGTTGATTGAGGTCATAAACCACACATAAAGGTAGAACTAGAGGGCCCACATGGTGACGTGCAGAATTGGTAACTCTTTGTCACTGCTGTGATAGCTTCAACTGGGAGCTTTTGAGGTTGGATATGATGGACCCAATGGTGGTTTCCTTCGCCATTTGCATTCTTCAGTGTTCACCTGGGCGAAGTACAAGAATAGGTAGCAGATGATTGGCCAAGTGTCACTCTGTACGATGGCTGAATGCCTTTATTATCCAAGAAAACACCCGGTTATCCACATCCCGGCAAATTCCCTACACCAAGGCGGGAAACGATCTTCAACAGCAATGCTATACTCCGTATATATCTCGGCTAATACATAATCGCAATGTGATTGGCTAATATGTTTCAAGCTGACATCATTGCGCAGATCTGCAGCTTATTCAGTAATGACTGTCGAGTGTCAACTGATCATCTTTGCAATAAATAACACCAAGACTATAGACTATCTCGACTAAGACATGTTTCTCTTTCGCGTGGGCCCCATATATCCCCAGCTTGCTGCGCAGTTATTGATTCTTCTAATTCTACAAAGGCTTGGGTCCGAAGAAGAACTTACCGGTCTGCTGTCCGTCGAAGAGGCGCGGTGTCCCCATGGTTTGCCACAAAGTGGTGCGCATTGCTGACCAGCTGACCGATAATGCAACCCGTCCAAATCTTACCGTATATGTCCACCGGATTATTAGTTCTATGATAATGATTACTATTCATCTTACCAAACGCTTTATAACAATGGCAAGAGTGGTAACATCCACATCTTCGATGGCGGCTTCTCCGTCGGCAACAACCGCAACTGGTGGGACCCGTTCAGTCGCCACTACACGAGGGTCTTCTCGATTATTCCGGTATATCGGTCTTGTCTCGGGCCCTGGGCCCAATCGAGAGACCATGGCGTGTTGATACAACAGGATCCCTGTGTTTGACAAGATCAGATCAAGGCGGCCCTTGCCTTGCCGGAGTTGTCGAACCATCTCTGTAATTGCCTGAGTGGGTCAATCGATGCAGCACTGTTTTACCCATTGTGCTATTCATGGATCTCATACTCCGTACATTCATGGAATAGTTGTTCCTAGCGTCTCCAAAGGAGGTCAGCCCACCCAACAGGGTAACTGGTTTCGGACAGTCTACAAGTGGAAGACCAAAGTGTAACAGGCCAATTTGGTACAGTGGGAAAGCATCTGGTTTTGTCAACTCGGAATGTGTGCGGCAGTCATGCTTACATACCAGCAGCATTCAGAAGATCGATGTCCTTGGGAGGCAGTACGGATGACGCTAAGCAGACGTCGGGGCATTTGGCGATTGCTGGACTGGGGTGTCTCTGGAGTAGTTGGGGCGTTTCAAACCTGGCAGATAGTAAGTCGTCTGCAGAGTTCATGCGCATTCTTCAGCAGACAATACTGACATTCACCAGCATTCATGGAACCCGCACCTCCGAGTGGGTAGATCCATCAATGTCTCTGAATCCCTAGCTCAGCAGCAAACTCAACGGTGGTGATTACACTGGCGCAACCAGATTAACTTCGCTAGATGCGTTCACAAGCAGAGGGTCTTTGTTGGAATAGTCAGTCTACAGATATAATGTTTGTGATTATGCAGTCTGGATCCATACATTCTAGTGACACCATCCTGATCGAGTGGATGTCTCTGCTTGACATCCAAAATTCCATGCAAATGGATGCTGCACAGCCACCTAGCTGAACTATCCATACAGTCAGACAGATTCTTTAAGATTGTCCTTTTAGCAATTGTCTACGGTGCGTACGAAATCCATTCTCTTACAATGCATAAATATGGCTGGGTAACCTGAATGGATGGATGCCATCTGGACCGTCTATTTCGGCCACGGCTATCACCTTGTATCTCCGAGGAGAGTTTCTTGAATTCCCTACCTACCTATTGAGAAAGGGTCAGCAGATGTTTCGAAGACTTTTGCACTGGGATCGCAGATCCTGTCCATCCTGGTGGAAGTTTCAGACATCTCCAGACATTGACTGGTTTTTCTTGTTGCGTATGTTTAATCAATCATTTTTGTTGATCTGATTGATAACGATAGCTCAGCCCATCTGGCCTCTGGAAATACCTCGCTTTGAGGTTATTCCACGTACTTTAGACAATCATGTATATCTTTGGGATGGCGTATACCATTTGGACTGTGAAAGAAAAGTATCAGCATGGACCCGGCAGTACTTGTTAATGCACTCATTTTTTGATACAAGGAGAACTGCAGCTAGACAGGGGGGAGAAGGAAATATTAGTTAGGTTTAGCGTCTCAGACCCTTGTCATGAGTGGACATTTAACCTAAGTGTTCTGAAATGATTGATAAATGACTAGTAATCATCCTACCCATGTCTCCCGCTGAATCGTCACACTTTCATTGGGGACACTAGAGAAATCAAAATGGCCAAAGACACCAAGCATCGCACGATAACCACATTCGAAATCAAGCTCGTCGAACCGGGGGACATTCCTGCAATTACTGAGCTCTGGTACAATGCGTTCAGCATCCCGCAGAATCTGAAGATGTTTCCAGATACCCCAGGAGTCCGGCAGTGGTGGGATGAAGCACATCGGCAGGATATACTTCATAACCCACACAGAAGATATCTCAAGGTGGTGGATATTGCTTCACCTTGTTTTATGGTTGCATATGCCAAATGGGATCTGAATCCGCAGCAAAGTGGACGGCGGTTTCCCCCGTGGCATGAGGAATCCGATCATCAGGCTGGCGACGAGCTGTTCGGGATGCTCGAGAAAGAGCGAAACAAGTTCTTCGGTGAAAAGCAATTCTACTGTAGGTGATTGACCCCGACACTGTTGACGAAGTCTAATCTCTTAGCTAGATCTTGACATGCTGGTCACACACCCCGACTACCGACGACAGGGCGCCGGGTCTATGTTAATCCAATGGGGCTGTGATCGGGCTGATGGAGAAGGGGTTCCTGCTTATGTGGATGCGCATCACGCTGCTGCTCCTCTGTATCGAAAGTTTGGTTTCCGTGATCGAACGGATGTCCAGGTCGATCTACAAGGGGCTCTACCAATGGTTAGAGAGTACAACTGAAGAACTAGAGCTGGTGTCTCCTGCGAAGAAAGATATCTCGTGAAGAAATCAATTCATGTGTGAAGCCATAGGCGAATTGACATCCTTTGTATTCCCTCTGAGTCGTACAAATCAGCCTCCCATCGGTCGCATCTCCAACTCTTCCCTCACACTCCACTCTTGCGTCCGATGGATGATCAGTTGTTGTGAGTTATAACTCTCTAGAGACTGTGTGGTCATAGCCACGTCTAACTCATTCTCATCCTTTGGGGTTTCTGGATGTGCTTGCGATGCACTTGTTTCGGTCTGTTTGTAGTATGAGGTTCCAGGAGTCGCTGCAACCGTATTGAAGGCAACTATAAATGGCTTCAGGCACGGTACTGTTGCTAGCATAATGCTGCAGTGCAACAAAGCCTCAGTCGTAACCAGTGTGTCGGACAGCGACAAGGGAGCGTCTTTCTCTCGGAGCGCGGTATTGAGGTAGGATTGGCGGACTATCGTCAGAATGATCACTCTGACAATGACGAAACTCTGGTTAATCCTCGAGTTCAGCGCAGTGGGAGACTTGACATACATCATTCAGGTACCAAAAGCGAAGATGGAAACAACAACTTTGACACAGAACAAATTTTTGAAAATTTTGTGCCTAAATCAACTCCTTTTAACACTAAATTTTGCCTAATTTCTCATGATAACAACTGCTTTTAATTGATCCTAATTTTATAGGGTTTTAATTACTATATTATTATTAAAGCCTAGGTGGCCACCCCTAACAGCCTCCTATAGTAGTAAAAAGAGGCTACAGAAAACTCTATATAACTATATCTTAGACCTTCACCATGATATAAGTATCTATTTAAACTATTTAAAGGTTTATAATTAAGGAATCCTAAAGCCTCTTATTAAACTTATTACTAATATGCATGCTATTATTAAGGAGGTCCTAAAAAACCCTCTAGGTAATAACTAGAGAAAGGTAGTTACTAATCTCTATAAGATTACTCTTAATATTAAGAAGAATACCATCTCTACCTAGTATATCTTAACTACTTAATCTATCCCTATATCTACTAAGATTTACTTATATATAGCTGCTACTACTAGGGCACTACCCTCTAATTATATAGTCTTCTCCTATAGCTTAAGCAGCCCTAGGGCCACCCTCTTAGAACTAAGTAAGGACTATAAGGTTATTATTAAACTACTAGATATAGGAGTAGTAAGCACATTCTAGTACCTGAAAGCTATAGAGATAAAGAATAAGACTAAGAAGGCCTATATAAAGATCTTAAAGAAGGCTATAATAACTACCCTTATATCTATTAAGTTTATAACTATCTACTAGCTTAAGTTAGGTGACTTAAGTCTTAGCCTATAGACTATCTAGTAGGCTAAGATTATATACTACTACCCTAGCTAGGCTAAGTTATTCTACTAGAGAGCTATTATTCACCTACTAATATAGGGTATAGTAGTTCATAATATCTAGGTTAAATTAATTAGTAATCTAATAGACCCTAGAGAAGCTAAGTAAGTAGCTAACTAGCTACTTATTATAAACTACTTTATATAGGGTAACTTAGTAAAAATTATTTATATTACCTAACTTATAAACTAACCTATTAATAAGAAATCTTCTATCTTAGTAATTAAGTTCTCTACCCCCCAGGCTACTAATAAAGCTATTAATAAGGGAACTATCTAGGATTCTATTATTTTAACTATAATCTTATATAACTAGTCCACTTATATCTACTAGTATTTTAACTATTAGTAATATAGCTATATAGGAAATATCTATTCTAATAAAATTATTTATAGCCTCTATATAGGCAGCTATAAGACCTATAACTACTTACTATAGCAGGCCACTACTAGCTAAGAGCTATAAAAGTATATTAACTATAGGGATATATATACTACCTAGTCTAAAAAGTATAAGAAGTATGCAGAGAAGGTAAATAAGATATAGATAATATCCTACTACTACTAGTAATATTACTATATTCTATTATATCTATAAGACTTCTAAAGGGACTCTAAGAGTAGTAGCTTAGATTTTATTACTATATTAAGCACCTCTACCCTAATATCTACCCCTGTAGATATAGATACCTTAGTAAAGGGCTCCCTAATATAAATAGAGGGACTTAAGGGCACTAAGGGATCTACTATAATAAAAATAGCTACTAGACTATCTAAGAGGTCTAAGAAAGTAAGATTAGAGCTATCCTATAAGTAGCCACCCTATAGGTAGGTACCTACTATAATATTATCCCTAATATTACTATTAGATTAGAATATTAATAATATCTTATTCACCCTATTAGTACTATACCCTAAGGCCTTATCTACCTCCATAAAAAAGAAGACCTTAACTAATTAAACTAGTTCTACTAATTAAACTAGCTCTACTACCTTCTACTACTCTACTTAAATTATAGACTACCTAAATAATATTAATCTACTAGATCTAACTAATAAAGATGACACCCACCCCCTAAAGCTACTATAGAACTAATAAATCACTACTATATATAGGACCTACCTTAATATATATTAAGATAATACTACTATTAATAATACTATAGCTAATAATAAGAATAGCTACACTAAGCTCCCTAATACCCTAGAGAGTAACTAGCAACCTAGCTTAGTTTTATAAGATAAAGATACTAATACTAACCTAAGCACCTGTGCTAAGAAGAAGAAGTAGAAGTAAGAGATAAATACCTCTATATAACTAGAGAAGGGCTAGAAGGCTATATAACTAGAGAAGGACCCCTAGGTTAACTTCTTTATAGAAGTTAGAATACCCTAGTTTACTAGTAGCTATTAAAAGAGTATATAGAACACCCTATACTATACCTCCTATAAATAGTATATTCTAAATACTATAATATAATGTGCACTGCTCTAAGAATATAATAATAGCTTAGTTTTTATATAACCTAGAGGTCCTAAAAGCAGATATTATTACTATCTAGGAATTATAGGATAACCTATACTAAGATACTACCTACTATCCTACTTAAATAACTTACTAGCTACTCTACCCTAAGGTAATAGAAACTAGTAGCTATACCTAGGTCTATCTCTATATCTCTTACTAGATAGACCCTACTAAATAAAAGTATATAGCCTATTTATAGGACTACTAGGAGCTTAAGCTATACTATAATACTAGAATACTCTACCTATATAATATCTATAATTTATGCCTAGATACTAATACCTAAACTAACACCCTTAACCTCCTAGAGCAGGTCCTAGACTAGTAGGATAGTAGCTACCTACTCCTAGGAGATTTTAACCTCTACTACCCAGCCTAGGGTGGTAACCATATCTACCATACTAACCCTAGGTCTAATAAACTATTAGAACTAGCTAATACCTAGCTCCTAGATCTATAGATAGAACTAGGCACTGCCACCCATGATGAGCAGGGCTACTAGTTAACTATTAACCTAATATTCAGATCTATAGACCTAATAGCCTACCTTATAGCCTGTAAGGTGGCCCCTAATATCTATACTAATTCTAATTATCTATTAATTTACCTACTTCTTAATATCATAACACCCCCACTGCAGGCCCCTAAATACTATAACTAGAAGGCTATAGATGCATAGAAGCTCTATATATTTATATTCTCTAATCTTAACTTATATAGGTGGACTAGGAACCTTAAAACCTCTTATTAGATTAATAATACTACTAACTATCTTATTAAAGTTATCTAGTAAGCTATTACCTAGTCTATACTATAGGCCTGCCCCTCTAAGTAGGCCAACCCTAACTAAATACCTAAATATACTAAGATAGTTAAGCTAGTATATCTCTGCTAATAAATCTATACTAGTATATATACTAATAATAACTAGACTGTGTACACCAAGGCCTATAACTAGAAAGGGAAGGTTATCTTCTAATCCCTGTAGTATAGCTATTATAAATATATATAATAGATAGTTAATTAAGGCCCCTAGGGCATATAGCATATTATTAAGTAGGCCTAGAACTACTAGGGAGATAGCTAGACAGGCATCATCCCTATCCTCTACTATAGAGATTATATTACAGAGATAGCTAAGTAGAAAGCTAACCTACTCTATAAGATCTTCTTTCTAGCACTACTAGCTACAGACCTCTTAGATATAGAGGGTAGAATATATAACTAATTATAGGATATTATCTTCCCTAAAATTAATAACTAGGAAATTACTAAAGCTATCAGGTATACACCTCTTAAGAAGGTACTAGGACTAGATACTATCCTAAATAAGGTCTAGTACACCCTAATAGCTATCCTAACTTTTATCTAGGTAATTAAGACCCTATTTAATGCCTATATCTATATTAGTTATAATCCCTAATACTTCTAGGTATCTACTATAGTTATTCTTTATAAGGCAGCCCCCTAAGATTTCTATCTTCTAAAGTCCTACTACCCTATTACCCTACTTAATACCCTAGGTAAGGTCCTGAAGTTAATTATTATACTCTATATCTTCTAGGTACTAGAGGAATATAACTTACTTCTAAAAGATTACTTAGGTAGCTAGAAAGGCATCTCTATTAATTATACTATCTAACTAATTATTAATATAATCTATTATACTTAGGGGTCTAGATAGAAGGTTAGTATACTATTACTAGATATCTCTAGTATATTTAATAATATCTCCCTCTAATACCTACTATATAATCTCTAAACTATGCAGCTAGGCTAGGCTACTAACTAGCTATAATCCTTCTTATTAAACTACTATACCTACCTATAGCTGCCTGGGTTTCTTAATAATCTATTTATAACTATAATAGAGATCCTATAAGGTAGCCCCCTTTTATCTATTCTTTTCTTAATTTTTAATACCCTACTAATCTAAATACTGGTCCACTAGCTTAGTAATATAAAAACTATATCTATTAGCTAGATAGATAACTCCTGTATACTTACTATTAGTTAGACCTATGCCTAGAATATTATAGTCCTAGAGAAGTACCTAGAGAAGATAGAC